TATATATATATATATATATATATATATATATATATATATAGTACACATATGAGGAGAACGGAACAGTGTGTGGGTGCGTCACCAGGACTTACAGAAAATAACTGGTATACGATTCACACTGACACGTAGGGCGTGTAGCATACGCCAAAGTGCAGTATCGGCAAAGTAGTGTTCCGCGCGACCAACATCCATCAGGGCAGCACCCTCAGAAAATGTTCGTACTTGTGTATGATAGAAGCTGTGTGGAGGACAGAGAGAAACTGGAAGAGTAAACTTGGTGGTTTTTAGTTAGAGTAAAACTGTCAGAATACAGCACAGGTTTGAATGAGATTCCTAAGATACGGCTCTACTTGCATGAGGTCAATTCAGGTAGCAACGATTTTGGAGATTAATATTTTCTAAAGTTTTCGATTTCCCACACACATTAAACGTGTGAATTGTCACGATGAGGCCACGCCGTTATACAAGTATCTCATCTATCGCTTTGTGGTTTGAACGTAACGTGCAATCCAACGCAGTGGTCAGTCAGGTAGGCTGAGAAGATCCTCATGAGAAATTTTGAGTAAACACTTCAACGCACATAAAAATGTTCCGGCAGTGAATGATCATAAGAACACAGGTTCGTAAACAAGCAAGTTTTCGGTGCTTTATCGAGGTGATTGAGAGTAAATGGACGGATGTGATGTCAATAGATTGACGTGGATGGTTATGTCAGGACCAGACTGTTTCTGAGCCTACCAGAAGGAGCAGTAGTGTAGACGGATTTCAATCGCCTCGGCTGTTGGCGAAATTAGGAGCTTGACTTCTTCGGATGACCTTCCGGCCTATGTCAATTCCTGATTATTTAATTTATTTAATTACTAACTTCGATTAAGCTACCTCGTAGCAGAGAATGAGCAGATTCCATAAACGGGTGGTGACCATAAATTCGCTCAGATATTTTTCATGGTGCATTTCTAGCCTTAAAACAGAAAAAACTCACAAAGGTGACTTTTTAATGACACACTTGTATTTACATCGCCTCGATGTCGGTTTGACAAGCATGAGTGAAACAGAGGCTAGCCGTTTCCCAGGGAGCACAGCTAACCTCCCTTGGTTGATCAAGCCAACCAAGCGGTAAACCTGGGGTGTACCGGTTGCCCCATACAAGCAATGTCATGGAGATACAAATAAGACTTGAACGAGTGATATGGGCCAACTGAAAGGAACTATTTCCTAGGGGCATGACGTATTGCGAGAATAGAGAAGCTACCTCATAACGGGAAAAGAATGGATCGAACACGTCAGCCACCTGCATAACCGCTGTTCTTTCCGGCCTAGTTGTATAGTACTACCAGTCATTATCGAGAAATATAAAATCGACCTAGACCCATCTAACAAATGTAAAATTCTTGCAGTCATCATGGCGATGAGAAACAGGAAGTTCTCCTACGAAGAAAGCAGCCTTTCCTAACGTTTATAGTGTCTGCCAACTCTAAATGGCCCACAGGTGGACACAACTGCGTGGCATCAAGGATAACTAAAAAGACTGGATGTCATCTACTCCACTTACCATTCTAAAAAAGGGGGCGATAAAACGATCTGTGGGAACCGCGAAGGTATCAGGCGCATGAAAATTTTGGCCAAGAATTTTACAGCTATTCTGCTTAATCGCCTTGTTAATATACGTGACATAAGAACACATTCAAACCAATCTGGTTTTACCCAGCGAAAGTTTACGTCAACCACCTCGTTAGGATGCAATGAATCCTAAAACACTGCAACAAATTTTAACGGCCAACTTCGGCTTAATCCGATTATTTTTGCACTGCATTTGACTCTGTCAGTACATTGATTCTGGAGTATATTATGTTCCGAGAGTATCACAAGAGGCTGATATGCCATGTTGCTGTGTAACGCGAGTGTGAGACCGTGCCTATGGGGAAGAATTGACGAAAATTCTACCTGTTCCAGGTTTTCGCCAATCCTTTTCAGCTACTTCGTGCCGTTACCGGTTCTGGAGAAAACCTGGATAGTTGATCTCGAATTGGCCGGCGACGGTGTCCTTTTCGGGGACGACCTGGACAGACTACAGTCATCGAATGGAAGGTTGTCAATTTAGAGATAAACACCTCAAAAACGAATATCTTCAAGTCACCAAATCCTTCATGTCTCATCCACCTCTAAATTGAAGTATTTGAACAGGTGTACCACTCAAAGTGCTTGGGATCAACCATTCATCCAAACGGCTGTTAGAGACGAAGTCGGGCTTCGTGTCGGCTGTTCAACGAGGGTATTTCAACAACTTCGCAAACCCTGGGGTGGTTACGCAGCGAAGTGAGCCGCTCTACAGAAACGCATCTATTGAGCCACAGTTTACTCTTTCCTGACATATGCTTACGATACATAACCTGACAAAAAAAACTGGAAAAACTTCGAACACTGGTGCAGCCGATATACAGCACAAAAGCTACATGGTACATCTATGAGCTAGAGTTGCCATCACTACCTGGAACCCGAACACCTAAGTCCCTGATTGGACCAGCTAGTTGACCCTATCATGGTCATTCATTTGTCAAATGGTGACGTAACATCCGTCCATTAAATCTTATTCATTCACTCACCCGATCATTCAAAAACACCAAACTGCCAAACAGAAAAAAACCACACACATCAATGATCACAACCATGATACCTCGCTCTAGACTTTTCTTTCTTTTCCATCTGTCTTGCTTAGTCTGGATAAATACCTTATGATAAAACAGCTTTCCCATTGTGATGACACTAACCATCCGATTGCTCCCATCAAAATTGAACATTAACACAAAGAAACTAAATAACAGCGATACCAGAGGCTAAGGAGCACTTTGTCGAGCGCAGAGTGGCACAGCCAGCCAAAGGTGCCACACGGAACTTCAACGCCACTTGCCAGAGCAGTTTGCGCAAAGTAACGCAAGTTCCATTTCATTAGATTACCATCCATTCCAAACCCTATTGGTGTGTGCATGTATGTGTGTGCGTGATAAGTACTGCGACCACCAGACACACGAGCCACTACTTCCTGCATCACCTTCCTTAAAAGGCCTTTTGATCATCTTTGGTTCGAAAACGAGGCGTTGATAGAAGACAACATAACTGGCAGAATAAATGCTGATTTCACCATATGAAAGGCCAGGATAAACGGTGAAGAGAGACTTTGTTTTTCAGAAGCAATGCTAAAGAATTACGATGTAAATTGGGGGGATCTACGACTCACCGGAAGTTACCCTCCTGTCGATCATGCTCGTAAATCGCTTTTGAGGTCCAAGCTGTGACAAAATGAGCGATAACCGCATAAACAACAAACATTATGTAAGCCGAAATCGGACCTAACCATCCGGCTCTAAATTAAGTTATGGTTGATATGGCTGAATCACAAACGGAACGTACTTATCGACACACTTATACGTGTAGAACATCACTAATATTGGGTTGATTATGAACAGAGGTAAAATGTCAGAAATGAGGCCGCAAGCAGTACCAATATCTTGGGTCAAACGCTGATCACTGAAGAGGAAAAACAAAGACGTTAAAGTTGTTTGAACGAAGACCAACAAGCGACAAACTTACGGATTATCCAGATTCATTAGTTGATTCACAGTGTAGAAATTTTTATTTCGGAAATACAAACCATGCATTCGTTCACTGATTGCAGTCCGAAGCACGGTGGTCAAGTGGCCGGAAACTAAACCTGTGGTACCTTTAATCTATTTCATTACGGATGCGTCAGTTGAATTCTGCTTCGTACCAGACCGATCCCGGCCACCAGTAGGATGGCGTATCGCACGGTCCACTTATACTGCGAATAGCACTTTCTCAGGAGCGATGAATTAAAGTTCGCAGTTAATAAACCGACTTGGTAAGCTGCATATTCGACTGATAAGCAAGACAAATGAGTTAGATCGGTTTGATGTGCCGTAACTTACAGAACGCGTCAGACACCAAAGTGAAAACCATTAACATGATTGCTTCACCCCATCGTTTTTTCATGGATCGACAAACGAGTTTCAGGAAAGAAAAAATAAAACGGAATCCAGCCGTAATTCTGAGGTTAATTAATTTCAATGGTTGAGGAAAACAGCATACCTTGCACGTTCATGGGTGTGCTTTCGACAGCAAGAATCCATGTTTTGAGAAAGTTTAGGATGACAAATTGCTTAGCACAAGTCTTTTCTCTAAAAGTGTAAAGAAATGAAAAACTGTACGAAACAAGTGTTTTTCTTAGTCACAGGTCTGAAACACGTCAAGTGAGATCACAGTATATTGTACAATACGGGATAAAAGAGGTATCACATTTATTTAGGTTTTCGCGATACTGTCTACGTTAAGGACTATTAAACTAAGAGGTTGTCAAAGTTAAAGCGGAACAGTTACTTGAGAGACCTCAGTCAGAGCATTGAATTCCGTTGGCGACAGCCAAATGCGCTGTCGCGAAGTTCAATATGAAACCTACACTTTCGGAGTCTGATAGGCTTTACCAAGAAGTATCAGGGCTATAAAGTAGCCTATCAGCAAAAATGAGCGGTGAGTTCTCGCTACTATCGGCTACAACCCTTCCTCTTATCATTACACGATTTCAAAATAAGTTTAATTAGGAAAGTTAGGGTGATGCTTTCTGTCCGCAACCTGCGGGAACCTATCCTGAATCAATCGGCAAATGAGCCTTTCGAGGGGATCACCACGTTCACTATCCACCACACTAAAGGTCGGTGATTGCAGGACGTTCATATGCTGTGAATAGTTTGAATTAATACATATTTTTAAACCGTCGAAATAATGCAACGTCATCCATTTTCCCCACATCTTTCTGCTTTCATATTACCTGAGGAAACTGGTAGAAATAACCGAATATCGGTGCAATAAGGTATATGAAATTTAAAAAAAGGAGCAGAAAATGAGATGAGAAAGGGTGGCAGGGGTGCAATACACATTATGTCGTCGCGCTTTCTTAAGGAAAACTTTACAAAAACAAAAAGAACAGCCTGAAAACCGTAGGAATGGTTCGGTCTGTGGATTTGGCGGCTGGAAAACCGATGAACCCTAGGATTATGTGGTCATGAGCATTCGAGGACGTGATGCACTCTGGTTATTAAGCCTCGTCTGGCAACCTTTCACATTGACCGTAGGCATTTACCACAACTACAAGTCAAACCAATTAGTCCGCGCAATGAAAAATGGAAGAAAACCAACTGACTTTTCACGACATTCATGTGTGGGAACAGCAGACGGTCACGAGGACCTATTTTTAGCCATGGCGACCGACAACCTAAGCCCCGGGACTTGAAGGAGCGAACCGCATAGGGCTAGACTAGGTTCTGTATGGTGTTAATCCCCCGAAAGCAAACCTGCTATATTTTGACTGTCATCATGATA